TTCGACACCAATTTGTTTGTAGTAAACTCGAATTAACAAGTATTAGAGTTTCAACTATTTTTTCTCGCCCATCCCATTCGAGAAAAAAATTCGATGAACATCTTGAAAACGTTAAGAAAAAAAAGCACTAAAAAAAGGCTAAAGCAGAAGTACCATAAATGGGTCTAACGATGAATATTCAATTAGTCAATAAAGGATATGGTGTTGGTGAATTACTTCAAGGATTTGTTTGTATCACCACCCCAAAGCGTGTGATAATGACGCATTTACACTTTAATTTACAAGGCGAGACGGTGATGTCTACCAATGCCAACGACAAGAAATCCCCCAAAACGAATTATAACTTCTTCTTATCTCGAAATTACCCGCCTCTTGCCGAGCAATTGTCCCACTCGACTGAACCATATTACCATGAATTAGTCCCCGGCTCACACTTCTTCCCATTCTCTATTACAATTCCTATAGTCTCTCATCCTTCAATCCATTTCATTAATGGCGTTGGCGTCTATTATACCCTCATCGCTACTTTACAAACACTGAAGACAAAAGACGACGAGAAAATTAAAGAAGAGTTCCCGACTTATACCACCGCCGTTGAAGTCCCTATTTTGTTCTGTATAGCTGACATGGTGAACTACCCCGTTAAAGAAAGTTGCTCACGAGACGGCGTATTAGTCAAATTACAGATCGAACAGGGGGTGGTACCAAATCAAGACGCTACGGTATTGGTGACAGTAAGTAATAACACAAGAACACCATTCCGCCCCCTCATGATGTGGTATAGTGAACATTTATATCGTGAGACGTATATCCAATCCCACGGCGGGATATTGGAGTTGGAAGAAGTCCCAAAACTGTTACAAAAGACGTACACCATCGATACATCAAAGTTGTTCCCAACAATAGAAGAAGACGATTTTAATGTAAAGTCATACGTCGAACTTCGCGTACAAATTAAGAAGAAGCCCGTTGTGTCAGTTAAAGTACCTTTGCATGTTGGATGGTCAAAGATGAAGGAAGAAGTGAATCGAAGTCGTTCGGAGTTGGTTGGGATAGAATACACGCCGGACAAAGTCGCGTTCTATGGGAATCATATGCGACCGACACCCGAGTGCGGGGAGGTGATCGAACGATTTGAGAACAACGGGAATGCGTTTTATGTGAATCATTTGTGGAGGAAATGTTATGAAGATGAAAGATGTACCAATTTCTTAGATGTGAGATATCCACTGCCAGAAATCTTCAATCTGCCGAAAGGATGGGGAATGGGATGCGATCGAGGAGAACTCTATTTTATTAATTGGAATAAGAAATATACCACGTGGATCGACCCAAGAACATTCGAACAAAGAAACGTCAAGGCTCTCACTTTATTGGTCACCGTGCTAAAAGGGAGAAATTTCCCGGTTTTTAAAGGAAAAGAGGCCCAATTTTATGGGATGGCAATCGACAAAAATAATACCCCTGTCAAAACGGGAATCTCAAGTAAAGGGGCGGACCCAATCTGGACGGAAGAGAACGTTTTGACAATCCAAAATGATGAGGAAAGAGAAAATATTGTGATTTTATTTTTTGCTAATAAAAAATGTGTGGGGGGGATCGATCTGCCGACGTGGAGAGTCTCCAAAAATGGAGTTGAGGAATGGTACCAACTCAAAAATTTCTGTGATTTTGGAATTCCTCAAACGGGTGAGGTTTTGATGAGGTTTATGTGGGAAGGAGACGCCCCATCAACACAACCGCAACGCATCCAAATGAGGTTTGAGCCGTTTTATTGTAACACCGAAGCAACAAAAGAACAAGAAAAATATATCAATAAATTACGGACAAAGAAAGGAGAAAATACAATTGAATTTAAAGTTGGAGGAGATCTTATATCCGGAAAGAAAGGCCTTTACCAGGAAAGTGGAGTTTGTGAGAACAATCTGGTGATGGGGAAAGCGATGAATTATGACGTGGAAAGTATTGGGTCTCAGGTAATGGATGAGAGTTTTGTGATACCGAAAGACGAAGAAGAAATCAAGAGCGAAAGTAAAGAGAAGATTGAAAGTGACGAAAAGAAAGAAAAAGTCTCAACCGCAGCTAAAAAAATGCAAGAAAGAAGATTGGAACTTGAAAACTCGTTACGAATCATTGGATTGGACAAAGAAAAAGTTGTGAGTGATGACGAGGAGATTGAAAAAATCATTGCAAAATCTCCCCGATTGATGGAAGCGAACAAAGAAAATAAGAACAATCTCGAGATTGCTGAGAGGAAAAGCGAAACGCCGAAGAAAGATGAAACAATTACGAACAAACCAACTGAAAATGACGAAGATGATGAAGTCCAAGAGTTAATGAAAATCATGGAAAAAGCGAAAAAAGAGGAAGAACACCCGAAAGAGAAAACAAATCTTCCGCCGCCAACATTTAAAAAAGAAAAATCAGTTCGAGATATTATAAACTTGGTTAGCAGTAGTACTTTTGACTCAGATAGTGATGACGATAACATTTATTTTGAAAAGAAAATGAAAGAAAGTGAAGAACGTGTCAAAGCGATGCAAGAAACTCTCAAAAAAGAACAAGAAGAGAAAAAACGGATTGAAGAGATGAAACGCAAAGAAATAGAAGAGCGGAAAAAAGCTGAAGAAGAAGAAAAGAGGCGGAAAGAGGAAGAAGAGATTGAGAAAGAGAAAGAGAGAGTGAGATTTAATGAAGAG